GTTGCTCCATGGCTCATAGAATCTTCCTGGATCAGGGGTCTAACCTGTGTCTCCTGCATTGGCAAGTGGATTCTTTACCACTGAGTCACAAGCGAAGCCCATCTGTGGATTTTCTGATGATAGGAATTCTGATACGATATTTCATTGTAGTTTTGGTTTGCATTTCTCTAATAATGAGCAATACTGAACATCTTTTTATGTGCCTCTTGGCCACGTTGGAATTCCCTGATAGATCAGTTGGTAAAGAACCTACCTGCAATGCAGGAGACCGGTTCGATTCCTGGATTGGGAAGATCTGCTGGAGAAGGGATAGGCTACCCACTCAAATATTCTTGGGCTTCCCACGTGGCTCAACTGGTAATGAATCTGCCTGCAACGCAGGAGACCTGGGTTCAATCCCTTGGTTGGGAAGATCCCCTGGAGAAGGGAACAGCTACCCACTCCAGTATCCTTGCCTAGAGAATTCACTGTACAGTCCATGGGGCCCCAAAGAGTTGGGCATGACTGAGTCACTTTCACTTTTTCACTCACTGGCCATGTGTTTGTCATCTTTAGAGAAATGTCTATTGAGGTCTTCTGCCCGTTTATTTATTGGGTTTTTTGTTTGATGATATTAAGCCATACGAGTTGTTGGTACATTTTGGAGCCAAAACCTTGCCAGTCACATCATTTGCAAATATTTTCTCCCATTTGATGGGTTGTCTTTTTGTTTTGTTTATGGTTTCCTCTGCTGTGCAAAAGCTTTTGAGCTTAATTAGGTCTCATTTGTTTATTTTTGTTTTTATTTCCATTACTCTGGAAGACAGATTGAAAACGTTATTGCTGTGATTTATGTCAGAGGGTGTCCTGCCTATGTTTTCCTCTAATAGTTTTGTAGTGTCTGGTTTCACATTTTTTAAATCCATATATCACGCTGTGAGGAAGCTCAGCAGTCCATGCAGAAATTCATGTGCATGAGAATCAAAAATGGCTTTAGGACTGAGTGGCAGGTGGAAGCTGGAAGGGCTCCAGGGAGACCATTAGTGAAAGTCAAAGAGACTTATGAAGGCCTAAAGGAAAGCAAAGTAAATTCACTGGAAGCCAGAGAAAACACTGACATCTGTAATAATGTGAAAGAAAGGAAAATGTACCTAATTAATTCAATGATCTAGCTAAAATGATTTCCCAGCAGAGTACTGATAGTGCCATCTGGCTTCTTCTTACTGCCTATTATAACACATACAAAAAGAGGTGAACTAAAGAATCAACTGTTATCAACAAGGACCTACTGTGCAGTACAGAGAACCTACTCAATATTCTGTGATAATCTGTAAGGGAAAGAATCTGAAAAAGAATAGATATGTGTATAACTGAACCACTTTGCTGTCCACCTGAAATTAACACAACTGTACTCCAATATAACATAATTTTTTAATGAACTTCTAAATAGGAAGCAACCAGGACTTGCCAAGTTTGACAGTAATACTGTTTCTCCTTTCTACCTTCTCCAGATGGTAAATCATTCTATAATTAAGACAGAATCTCAAAGCAAAGTCAAGCCCAGAGTGAGTCTATGGGAGATCCTTTGTAAAGACCTCAAAGATTCAAGGTAGTGCTTCACAGAATATTTCAGAATGACAAAAGTCCCACTAAACATTTTAAGGTGTTCCTAACAAATCCTATTAAATAAGAGAATTTATGAGAATCTTAAGGATGTTTTCCTGCAGCATTCTCCCAAAAAGCCCCAAATAGAGACAGTCTTATCTCAAACAGGTTTATAGTGATGTATTGCCTAATACAGTGAACTCCACTAATATTTTTAGAAAACCCATATAGTTTTTAAAATGGTTCTGGTGGAAGCACAGTTAAGTTTAAAAGAGAAAGAGTGCAAAATAAAAAGAGACCTTTCTTCATTTTTTTTTCATTTATTTATTTTTTAAAGTGCATCTCTATGTATTTTCACAGTGAATACACCAATATCATAAAACAAAAACAAAACTCCTGCCTTGAAGAACATCCACTACACTACTCTGACTTCTATCTCCATATATATTGCCTGTTTTTTTTTTTTTATTTTAATTAATTTATTTTAATTGGAGGCTAATTACAATATTGTAGTGGTTTTTGTCATACATTGACATGAATCCGCCATGTGTGTACATGTGTTCCCCATCCTGAACCCCCCTCCCACTTCCCTCCCCATCCCATCCCTCAGGGTCGTCCCAGTGCACCGGCCCTCAGCACCCTGTCTCATGCACTGAACCTGGACTGGCGATCTGTTTCACATCTGGTAATATATCTGTTTCACATATGATAATATAATATACATGCTATTCTCTCAAATCATCCCACCCTCGCCTTCTCCCCCCTCAGAACTCAGAGTCCAAAGTTCTGTTCTTTACATCTGTGTCTAAAAAGAGACCTTTAGATGCTTCATATATTTTACCCAGAAAACAGATCCTGGAGGCTTTTTTCCTAATTTAATTATTTTTATGGGAAACACAAGTTTCAACTCAGAGGATAGAACCAAGAGATACAGAGAACAACTCAGAGAGTAAACTGAGCAGCAATGAAAGAATTGGCAACAGTTTCTCAGCTAGATTTCAGAAGAGCTAGGTAGGGGCCAGCAATTGTTGTGTGTCTCTCAGACGCCATGTTTTTGAACAGGAATGTCTAAGAATTGGGGCTTCACAAGTGGCACTAGTGGTAAAGAACCTGCCAATGCAGGAGACCTAAGAGACAAGGGTTTGATCCCTGGGTCAGGAAGATCCCTGGAGAAGGGCATGGTAACCCACTCTAGTAGGCCTGCCTGAAGAATCCCCTGGATAGAGAAAAACGGTGGCGACAGTCCATAGGTCGCAAAGAGTTGGACACGACTTAGCACACACACACGCATAGCATCACAGCCTCAAGTTTGTCAAGCTCCATAGGGTGGCTCAGCGCTTCAAGAGCAAGTATTTCCAGCAAACAAGGTGAAAACTTCATGGCCTTTATGACCTACCTTCTGAAGTCCCAAGCATCAGTTCAGTACTAACTGAAGCAGTCAGAAACCCATGTGTATTGAGGGGAGAGGGCATAGATCTCCCGCCTCATTGTGCCAGAAGTGGTGAAGAATTTGTGTTATGGTTCTATGTTTTAAAACCTGCACAGGGCTTCCTTGGTGGCTTGGTGGTAAAGAAACCAACTGCCAATGCAGGAGACATGGGTTCAATCCTTGGTCCAGGAAGATCACACATGCCTCAGAGTGGCCAAGCCTGTGTTCCACAGCTATTGAGCCTGTTCTCTAAAGCCTGGGAGCAGCAACTACTGAGTCCACATGCTGCAACTACTGAAGCCTGTGTGCCCAAGAGCCCTGCTCTGCAACGAGAGAAGCCACCACAGTGAGAAGCCATGTAGCACAACTAGAGCATATAGAGACCAAGTTCACTGCAACTGGGGAAAAGCCACAGCCACGGAGACCCAGCACGGCCAAAAATGATAATATATAAACAAACAAATTATTTTAAACCTGCAAAAACAAGTGTTCTATAATGTGTTAAATACAGTTTTCTTTGTATTTAGCTTGAGCTTTATAGGTGTTATGAACTGAATGTGTGCCCTCAAAACTCAGTGTTGCAATCTGAAACTCCAGCGTGATGGTATTTGAAGGTGGGGCCTTTGCGAAGCTGTTAGGTTTAAATGAGGTCAGGAGAGTGAGGCCCCCATGATGGGATTAGTGTCCTTATGAAATGAGGAAGTGAAACTGGAGCTCCCCCTCTTTCTCTCCCTGCCAGTTGAAGACACGGAGAAGGCAGCTGTCTCTAGGCCAGAAGAGGCCCCCCCAGGAACTGAATCTGCCAGAACCTTGATCTTGGACTTCCCAGCCTCCAGAACTGTGAGAAATGTCTGGTGTTTAAGCCATTCTGTCTATGGTGTTTTGTCACAGAAGCCTGAGCCAAGACACAGTGCCTCTGGACTATGTGGCTGATGTCCGTCAGTTGCTGAAAATTCTCAAACCACTGTCTCTTCAAATAAACCTACATAACAGTTTGTAGTTTTGTTGTCAGGGAAAGTGATGATGCCTCTAGGAATGTCACAGTATGAGTTTCCGAAGTTTGTTCTCAGAACCAGGAAGCAGGAAGGAAAATAGCTCATAGTCACTCACCTTTGGACTGATGACTTTGGAAGGACTGATGCTGAAGCTCCAATACTCTGTCCACCTGATGCAAAGAGCCGACTCACTGAAAAGGACCCTGATGCTGGGAAAGATTGAAGGCAGGAGGAGAAGAGGATGACAGGGGATGAAATGGCTGGATGGCATCACCGACTTGATGGACGGTGAATGTGAGCATCCTTGAGGAGTTTCTGATGGACAGGGAAGCCTGGCGTGCTGCAGTCCATGGGGCCGCAAAGAGTCGGACACGACTGAGCAACTGAACTGAACTGGATGACTCACCTTTGGAATAGAGTTTTGACTAAACTATTCCAGAGTCAGATGTTCCCCTTCTTTTTTTATTTTTATTATTTTTTGGTTGTGCTGGGCCTTTGTTGCTGGGCATGGACTTTCTGTAGTTGGGGTGAGCGAGGGCTACTCTCTGTTTGCAGAATGTGGACTTCTCACTGCAGTGGCCTCTCCTGTTACGGATCAAGAGCTCTAGGCTTGCAGGCTTCAGTAGCTGTGGCACATGGACTTAGTTGCCCCAGGCATGTGGGGTCTTCCTGGACCAGGGATCAAAATGGTGCTCCTTCCATTGAAAGGTGGATTCTTAAACTGGCCACGAAGGAAGCCCCTGGTGCTCCCTTCTTACCACCACTCCTCCTCCCAGGGAATTCCTCTTTAATCTCCATGAGAAAAAGGTCAGTCTGGCTTTCCTTCTATCAACACCTCTGTGTATACTTTAGCCAATGAAAATTCTACTGTTATCTGTATTGAACCGCTGGCAAACACTGAATGACCATTCTCTCCCAGTGATGGAAAAAGTAACCCAGTAGTTCTGTGACTAAAAATGTTAAGTAAAAAAAAATCTAGATGAAAACACAAATTTTAAAAGTAGATACTTTTTACTATTTTGTATGATATACCTCTATTGAATCTTCAACAATAGGCATGTGTTAGATTAGAAAAATTCATAATGAAATAAAACTTCAAAAAGTTTCCTACAATACATCATTAATAACAATGACATGAATTTAATGTTACCCAGGGGACAAACGATTCAGATAAGACTATTAAACACTAAAATCCAATCTTGAATCTCTCTCCTATCAGTAACAGAGCAGTGCATTACAATTTGGGGGAAGGTCCAAGGTGTTTGGTGAAGAAGGTTATAATTTGCTTCCAAGCATCTACCTGGGCCTTAGAATGGGCCCTGGGCTCCCCACCCCACATTACGGGTTTGTCCAAGAACGTCTGCAAAGAAGCTGGGCACATGGGGAAATAAGGAGGCTCAATGAAGTGCCCAGCCCCAGGATAAGAGATGATCTGGGGTTTTTCCTTTCCATGGGCCTGTAACCGTTCCGAGGCTATCTGGGCATAAAACTCACTCCTCCGGTTATGGTCATCCTGACCAACAATGAAGAGGATTGGCCCCTGGGCCTTCTCTATTGGAATCATGCAGGGGTTCTCGCACCCCCCTACAATGTCATTCCTTACATCCACAATGTCTAGGAGGCCTGAGAAAGCTACCTTCACTCTCCTCAGGTCATGGCCCAGTGGTGGAATGTTGCTGTCCTTGTAGTGTATGACTCTGTCTCCACTGAACCCAGATCCATTGATGGAAACCGTGGCTGAGATGTTCTTCAAAAATGAGGCCATAGAGAGACAAATATCAGCCCCTAAAGAAATGCCCAGAAGCCCAATGCATGGGCCCTTTATCTGGAAGAAAAGGAGATAAGAGTCAAGAACTTACCCAAGAGAAAAATGTTTTTCTAAGTGCAACTAGAGATGCTGCTAGCTCTAATTTGTGAACTGGCCACAAGACACTCAACCTCAGTTCACAGAGGAGTTTCTTCCCATATAAAGACTATCTTGCTGGACATGTGGCAAACAAATTCAATGGTAAATCTGGGATGATGGCTTAGTCACTAAGGACTGTAGCCTGCCAGGCTCCTCTGTCCATGGGATTCTCCAGGCAAGAATACTGGAGAGGGTGACCACTTCCTTCCCCAAGGAATCTTCCCCACCCAGAGGTCAAACCTGGGTCTACCTGCATTGCAGACAGATTCTTTACTTGACTGAGCCACCAGGATTGTTCGCAAACTTCCAGAGAGTCAGACACTAGAGAATGCTGAGTCAAGGAGCCTGGCAAGTTCAGAGCCTTATGTTCTTGGGAATCTAAGTCTGTGAAACCAAATTCTGTTACAAGAAGTGAATCATTATCAGACCACTTCTAAACATATACTGAAAAATGGTTAACTTAATAGAAACAAAGGAGGACTGCAGAGTCCAATTAAGTAGTTCTTAGCTTCTGAAATGGGTGGACCAGTTTAGATCATCTGAGAACATACCCTGCCGTCAGAAAAATATTTAAAAGCATTCAAAGCGAAAAAATTAGAAACTCCACTTTCTCTCAAAAGGAATTTTCATATCACTACCTAATTCCTTGAAATAAGATTTCACATGGATTTTACAATGAATTCTGCATTAATTCCTTGAAATAAAATTTCACATGACTTTTACAGTGAATTCTGCATTATTAAGCCATCTGACAAAGAAAGGGGATGGTGCTTTAGGCACTAAAACCAAAGCAGTCTCCAAAAGCAATCTCTGAAAGAAGAGCAGAGCAGCACCCGTGCACCGGGCACGGGTGCGTGCACAGCGACAGCCCTCTGGAGGCAGTTCTGAAGAGAAGGATAAAGGACAGCAGGAGAACCTGGGCGTGCTGGAGCATGTAGCACACGGCTTCTTCAAAATATTCCAGGTGTATCACGTCAAATTTCTTGGGAAGATCATTAAAGTCATAATAAGCTAGAGCCAGTGTGGCAAAGCCATGGCCAGCCAAAAGACTGGCCCGATATTCCAACAGGCCTCCTCCAATACCGAAGATGTCAATGATCCCTGGGAAAGGTCCAGATCCTAGAGACAGTAATATTACAAAGGGGAAATATTATATAATTTAATGAATTTGCTTTCCACGCTCAACATCACTAATTATTAGAGAAATGCAAATCAAAACTACAATGGGATAGATACTGACCTCACATGAATCAGAATGACCATCATTAAAAAATCTACAAATAAGTGCTGGAGAGGGTGTGGACAAAAGGGAACCCTCCTACGCTGTTGGTGGGAATATAAGTTGGTGTAGCCACTGTGGAAAATAGTATGGAGGTTCTCAAAAAACTAAAAATAGAGTTGCCGTATGATCCATCAATCCCACTCCTGGGCATATACCACGAAAAAACTATAAATCAAAAAGATATATGAATCCCTATGTTCATAGCAGCACTGTTCACAACAACCAAGACAAGGAAACAAGCTAAATGTTCACTGACAGATGAATGATACAGAAGATGTGGTATATATATGCAATGGAATACTACTCAGCCATAAAAAGGAATGAACCAACATTTACAGCAACATGGATGGACCTAGAGATTATCACACTAAGTGAACTAAGTCAGGAAGAGAAAGACAAGTACCATATGATACACTGATATGTAGAATCTAAAATATGACACAAATGAACTTATCAACAAAACAAACATACTCACAGATGTAGAGAATAGACTTATGGTTGCCAAGAGGGAGGGTGTGTTGCAAAGGGAAACTAGTATATAGAGAATGGATAAATAACAAGGTCTTACCATGTAGCACAGGCAACTATATTCAGTACCCTGTGATAAACTATAATGGAAAAGAATATATATGTATAATTGAGTCACTTTGCAGTACAGCAGAAATTAATACACTGTATATCAACTACACTTCAATTTTTTAAAAAGAGCCTCCTTTCCTTTTATTTTTTTATTATTATTTTTTATTTTTTCATTTTTTCCATCCTGCTTTCCTCTTAGAGATCTTTCTAAACTATTAGTCGGTTCCTGTGACTCAAAGGAGAGATAACAGTTCCCTGAGTCATTATTGAAAAGGGTTACAAGTTCCTTTTAGGGAAAGGAGTCCAAGGAAAATATATGATAATTTTTCAATGCGTTTATCCTCCACATTACTTTATAACAAATTATCTCAAAGGTTCTAAGAATCTGTAGTTGTAGGGAAGAATAACCAAGTTAATAATCTTGCAAGGAAACTTTCGTATTGTGTTGCATCAACACGACTCTGTGTGTGTGTGTGTCCTTATATTTCAAATGTCACTTGACCAGAGAAAAGAAAAAGAGGTATTCAGTGAGGCTTTAGGTAAGGAAGGCAGTGAAGTCAGAAAAGTGATTTGTGGTAGAGAGGAGCACGAAAAAGTGGGTAAGGGGCCCAGTGTAAGCAGGACACTAGAGAAGAGTGTTCTGGTAATAGGTTCCATCATATTGTGTTAAGGTCTACGGAGCTGAAGCCTATAGAGATCTGTAGACTAATTATTAATGGCAAAGTGAACCTTACGGACCCCATCCAGTCCTTTTTTTTTTTAATCTGCATACTAACAGTATCCACCTCTTTGGGATACAGATGTTAAATGAGATAATGCAAAGAAACTGCATAGCAGAGTGCAGAACAAATCAAAAGCCTCCATTGTGGCTGTGAGGTCACTGATTTAGTCAACATCCTCTTCTCTGACCCTGATCCCAAGCCACCCTTCCTGGGAAGCGTTATCACAAACCAAGACGGCCTGGAGAACACGCTCGCCAGGCCCCAGCACCCCAGGCTCACCTGGCGGCAGGAAGAGCGTGGCGCGCACCCGGCCCGCGCGCACCGGCTCGCGCCGCACCCCGGGCGCCAGGAAGTCGCGCTCGTGCACTGCCCGGCCTAGAAGCCGTTGGGCCTCGGGCTCGTGACCGTCGAGCACCTCCAGCTCCACGGCGAAGGGCGTCTGCACATCCCGCTTCAGAAATCGCCAAAAAGGCTTTTCGGGCTCCAGAGCCCAGAAGAGCCCCATGGGCTCGAGCCCCGCGAAGCTGCCGCCCAGCGCGGGCGCGCGCTCCAGGTCCAGCAGGCCGGCGGCGTCGGCGCAGTAGCGCGCGTGGGCCCTGAAGAGCGCGCCCTTCTCGTCGCGCAGGGACGCGCGCAGCGTGACCGGCTGCCCCGGCGCCAGGCCGCGGACAACGATGCGCACGGGCTCGTCCCAGCGGCAGCGGCCCGCCGGCTCCAGCGTCACGGTCACTGTCATTCCAGACGCACAGTCGCAGCCCACACCCTGAATGTGAAAGCTCAGGTCGCTTCCGGTGTCCCATCCCAGGCCGGCTGTGCGCGCCCCTTGGACCGATGGGGTCAAGCGTTGCCTGGCGCCGGGAGCGGTCAAAGGCTGAGGCGCCCCCGGAGGCGTCCTGGCGCTTCCGGTCCATGTACCTGCTCTAGCCGGCAGCTTGCCTGACTAAAAGTCGTTTTCCCGGCGGGACGCACAGGAATGTCCTGCAGTCCCGTGCGGTGCCACACCCGCCCGCGGACGCCTCTTTTCAGCCTCTAACCTCCCGCACTCGTTGCGGGTAATTGATTCATGGTGAAACCAGAGCTGAGTGACTGTAGACGGAATTCCAAGACTTGTAGCCCCTCCATAGAAAAGGGCAACTTAAAACTTTTTTTTTTCAACTTAAAAACTTTTAATGAATTATAACGTACATACCAAAAACGTGCGTAAATCTCAAGGGTACAGTTCAATGAATTACAAAACCCGAACGTACTTAGTTGGGTAACCAAGCACAGGGATTCAGAAACATCACTACCAGCACTCCAGAAGCCACCCTCCTTTCTACTCCAGTCGCTTTCCCGTCCCCAAGGTACTCTGAGTCCAATAAAACGGGTTGGTTTTTCCCAACTCTTATTTTATGGTGATGAATCCTTCAGTCTGCCTTCTTTAGTGTCTGATTTTATTCTCACATTATGTTTTTGAGATTACTGTTGGATACTGTTTGGAGCAGTTGTAGATTTTCCGTGATCATTGCCAAATAGTATTGCATTTTGTAATCATAAAAGTATTTGTCAAATTTTACTGACTATAGTTAGTTAAGTCGCTCAGTCGTGTCCGACTCTTTGCGACCTTGTGGACTGTAGCCCACCAGGCTCCTCCATCCATGGAATTCTCCAGGCAAGAACACTGGAGTGGGTTGCCATTTTCTTCTCCAGGAGATCTTCCCGACCCAGGGATTGAACCCAGGTCTCCTGCATTGCAGGCAGACGCTTTAACCTCTGAGCCACCAGGGAAGCCCATATAGGCGTTTGATAATTCCCAGCTTGGGATTCTTAGATATAGTGCTTCATTACCGTGAAGTGAATATCAAAGATTGAAATTGCTGTATCATAGAGAATGAGAACATTCAGTCTTTGTAGACACTAACGGTCAACGTTTTGAATGTGACCCTGGAAGCAATACAGATATAATGTCCAAGGATGTATTTTATATTTACTACAATTTATATATAGTGTAGTAATGACTGTGTGCACTAAGTCGCTTCAGTCATGTCTGATTCCTTGCAACTGTACAGACTGTCCGTGGCATTCTCCAGGCAAGAATCTTAGAGTAGGTTGCCCTTTCTTTCTCCAGGGTACGCCGTTGCTAAAGAGTAGTGGCTACTCTTGTTAAATTGATTCATCTTATTAAATTGTGTGTTTTACATTCACAGTTTAACAAGTCTGTAAAACACTGGGAGTATTTTTCAAATATCCTAGAGGAGGAACCTGAGGCTTGGATAATGTTAAGCTGCTGAGGATTAATCTTTAACTGTCAGAGCCTTGACAGACTCCAAATGTGGAACTCAACAGTGAGCAGCAGCATTGGGGTGAAATATATTAGAATTCTAGCCATGACTTCATCACTGACTAGTTCTGTAGTCTCAAGTAATTTTATATCGTTTGGGGTTTAAGAGTTCTTGTGTTTAACATGATGAATGTCTCCTATATGGGGATCAAAGATGACAGTGTATGTGAAAAGCTTTGAAGAATACTAGGAAGCAACATGTCATGTTTAATTTCATAGTACCCAGAGATTGAGCACATCTGTGTTTTGTTCCTCGTGTGTGCTCAGTTGCTCAGTCGTGTCGGACTCTTTGTGACCCCATGGACTGTAGCCTGCCAGGCTCCCTTGCCCTTCGAATGTTCCAGGCAAGAATACTGGAGTGGGTTGCCATTTCCTTCTCCAACTGTTTCTTATGATTTCCAGATAATTGTCATAGGTTTGCACAGTGCTTCTAAATTGCTCTGTAAGGAAAAATCAATTCTTTTTGAAGGACAAAAATATGTACTTTGAAAAACAGATGTAAGCAATATTGAAAAGTTTACAATGTGAAATGATAGTCTACTCTCCCTCCAGCTGCCACTTTCCCCCAAATCTGAGTGCTTCCAGCTAGGTTTTGTTTCCAGATGTTGAAGAAAGTATGTAAGTAGGCATGTGAACCTGCTATTCCTTTTTAAAATATTTATTTATTTATTTTTGACTGTGCTGAGTCTTCACTGCTGCTTGCTGGCTTTGTCTAGTTGTGGCAAGCAGGGGCTACTCTCTCGTTGCAGTGTGCAGGCTTCTCCTTGAGGTGGCTTCTCTTATTGTGGAACCTGGGCTGTAGATACACGTGCTTGAGTAGTTGTTGCACACAGGCTTAGATCCCCACCAAGGATCAAACCTGTGTCCCCTGCATTGGAAAGTGAATTCTTAACCACTGGACCACCAGGGAAGTCCCTTGCCTTCTCCTAGATTTAGTAAGTTTTTCCTTTTTTTTTTCTGTGTTCTTTTCTATTCATTTGTGAATTAAACATTGTTTATTTTAGTAGTTACTCTTGAATTTTTGAAAAGAATCGTTACTCTTGAAATGTTAACAGTGTGGACAGTTTCTTTACCTTTCTCTCAATATGAAAGAGACCTTAGAATACAGTTTTACCTCACTATCTGATTTGTTTCAGGACCCCAGACAATACCAAAATCTACAGATACTTAAGTCCCTTATATAAAATGAAGTAGTGTTTGCATATCACCTATGAAAACCCTCTAATATAGTTTAAATTATCTCTAGATTACTTATAATACCTAATAGTATGTGAAAGAAAGGGTTAGTTGCTCAGTCGTGTCTGACTCTTTGCAACCCCATGTGGAAGAACTATTGACCCTTGAAGACTTCAGGGGCTGGGGCACTGACCCTGCATGCAGTAAAAATCCAAGTATAACTTTATAGTTATCCCTCTGTATCTGTGTTCACTTCCATGTATTCAAGCAACAGCAGCTGGTGAAGTACTGTAGTACATATTTTTAAGTTCAAAAAAAGAAAGAAAAACGTTCACATGTAGGTGGACCTGTGTAGTTCACACCTGTGTTGCTCAAGGGTCAAATGTGTTTTTCATATTATTTCATCATGACCTCTTAATAGTTTTTAATTTCTATGACTCCTTTTTAATCTAAGTTGTTTGGAAACAACTTTTGTATAAATTGAAAATTTTAACTTTTTCCCCAGATAGGCCTTCCTGGTAGTGCTAGTGGTTAACAACCTACTTGCCAATGCAGGAGACGTAAGATGCGGGTTTGATCTCTGGGTCAGGAAGATCCTCAACAGGAGGGCATGGCAACCCACCCAAGTATTCATGCCTGGAGAATCCCATGAAGAGAGGAGCCAGGCAGGTTACGGCCCATAGCATCACAAAGAGTCAGACATGACTGAAGTGACTTAGAATGCAATTTCTGCACAGTAATAAGTATAAGGGTGGGAAAAAAACTTAAAATGCAAATCAGCAGTCTGGTTTTGCACCACTGCCCTATAAAAAAGTACCATGTTCTTCAAGCAGCCTCTTTTAACTATCTCTATTTTCACTTGTTTTTATGGTTACCTTCATTGTATTAAATATTATGCATGTTTCTTTCTTAATTTTTGCATTTTGTAGTTATTTACTGACTCATGAACATTCAACTTACTCTTTCTTCTGCCTCCAGGTGTTGATAGATGTATTATTATTTCTTGTTATTCTGTTGGTTAATTTTGTAATTTTAAATAACATGTGTGTTTATTTCTTGCCCCATCAAATTTCAACTAAATCTACGACTTTGAAAGATAGAGATATTATCAACCTTATGTTTTCCAATGTGTTTAAATTCCACTTTTACTCTCTCTGGTAAATCTCTTATTAATTTCTATTTTACTCCAACTGTATTTAAAAAATATAGTCTGCATCATTTCTACTGTGAATGAAAAATATTGCCTGCCATATCAGTAAATAAAGGATGTTCCAGGCATTAGGCCAGTATAGCCACACCTGAGGGTGACACTGAGGGAACTCAGAATGGAGACAGACAGGCTTCCCCTGAGGTGCATCCTAGGGGGACTCAGAATGGGGAAAAAACAGGATACTGGCCCTAGGTAGCTAAGGTATATATCAAAGGAATTATTTCAGTACACCCAGATTCATGTATCTTCCTAAACACAAAAGTGTACTTAATGTATTAACTTGAGATACCTAGTTTTCTTTAACAGTAGTCTTTTGATGTTCCCAACTGCCTGGTCATTGTTGTAAAACCCCTACATAACCTGAAAGAAAGAAAGTGAAAATGTTAGTTGATCAGTCGTGTCCAACTCTTTGTGACCCCCATGGACTGTAGCCCACCAGTCTCCTCTGTCCATGGAATTCTCCAGGCAAGAATACTAGAATGGGTTGCCATTCCCTTCTCCAGGGGATCTTCCCAACTCAGGGATTGAACCCACGTCTTCTCCTTCATTGCAGGCAGATTCTTTACCAACTAAGACACTAGGGAAACCCTATGTAACCTGGCTCCTCCCTTACCTCTTTGGAACAGTCTGAGAGTTGAGAGGCTGTATCCCAGGCCCAAGTCCTCAGTTTTGTCCATCAAATAAAACATAATTCTTAACTTTCAGGTTTGGATTTTTCAGTCAACAGTACTTTTGGTACTTTATTACTTCTTAATGTTCTGAACATTGTCAAGTTTTATAAATACTTAAGAGTATTTGAAAAGAAGATAGAAACAGTGGCAGGTTTTTTTTTGGGGGGGGGGTGGGAATCCTGGCATCCTGCAGTCCATGGGGTCGCAAAGAGTTGGACACAACTGAGCGACTGAACTGAACTGAACTGAGAAGATGTACTATCTGTCTATTGGAAACAAAGCTTCCTACTCTCTTTCTCTCTATGACTCTATCTAATCAAGTTAATTATTTATATAGTTCATATCTTCTATATCTTCACTTATTGTTTATCTTACTTCTGTCAGTTTCTGAGTAGTTTAAATACATACATCATTGTAGGAAATCTATAAGTTATTTCTTCAGTTCAGTTCAGTTCAGTCACTCAGTCATGTCCGAC